ACACGACTCATACATCATAATAATAAATAGTAATTCATATACTTATTTCTGATAATCTACAAATTTGCAGACCATCCATTAAGTGTCGTAGATGAGAGCATATCCAAATATTTAAAATCAAAATGACCCAAATTTTTGTAAACCCGGATTCAACCTTTTATCCAGATTTAAAATACATTTTTTATATCCGACTACGTTATGAAAATATCATCTAGGAATCCATAAATTAGTACAGTATTAGTTGTAATCCTGCAGTGTTGTAAACCTTTGTGCAGTATCTTAGATGTACAGACGTATAGTAAACTGTTTTAAGCATACACACATGATAGTATAACAATTATAAAACCTATGAATGTAAAAGTATATATATAAAAAAGAGGGCCTCGACACTTTAGAAATGGGAGAGACGGAGAGTCACTGCTATAATCTACTTTTCAATAATGAAAATAGAATTTAATTGTTGAATTGTATGCAACCTATATTCATTATTTACTAGCTGAACCTGTGTGGCGTTGTCCTTGATAAATTAAATATTGCTAGTGGTAATAATACCCTGTCTTAAACACCGTTAAATGTAAGCTACACATATTTTTAACAGTAATTTGGGTTGTTTGGACCAAGTATAAATACAGGTCTAAAATTATATACAATTATAATAACCATGTTTGTTATGCAACCATAAATTACATAAATACGTTATAAATCATGAGATCTGCAGAACCGTAAGTGCGATGTACTTGACTGTGGATCTCATACATACATACATAACAAACACATACATTATTGTATTTTATTTAAATAAAGAAGATGGATAAATCGTGTAAATTTATTAATCTAGGTAATTGATACTTGTAGTCTTCAGATACATGGATTTAGTTCTTTTAGCAAATGTCTATATAATGCATTTAAATAAATATTAATATATAGGTAGGTATACCTATAGGCTATAATAAATGATAAAAATGTATGTAAGTGTTAACACTAAGTCATTGATGATTAACGATATCATTGGGAAACACTTTCGTAGTATATATTATACGAACGGATATGAAATATTAAAAGAGATTTTGAAAATTTTTTATCATTAGCCGTTGTCTGAAATATTGACGCTGGACATTTTTTCTGTACAATAACGGTATTTAATATTACTATTTACTGCATAGTAAATTAAAAGATAATTTTACGGTCTGTAGAGCTTCGGAAAACAAACTTCCGTTGAGTTTTAATTAAATCGATCATCACAATCGATATTAATTCACTATTGAATCGAACGAGGAAATAAAAAAATAGAAAACACTGTCGACAGTTTTCGGATTTTAATTTTTTTTTTTTTACCTATTTTCGTAAGATCATTGAGTAAACCTATATTGTGATTTATGGAGCATTATATATGTATTCTGACAATGAAATTTAGTAGGTACCTACTTGATCTTCTGCCAAACTGCAGTGAACTTACTTCCCACGAAAAAACGCGATGGCAATATTATTATAAAGGTACCTACGTATAGTGTAGAAGGATGAACGATTTCGTTAACATTAATATTGAGTCGCTAAAAGCCAATAAACAGTAAACATTCACATTAATATATTATGTATATCGCCGTCCGTGACAATGTCGGTCAGTAGCTATGGGTTTCGATGACATTGATATTGTCCGTGCCTTGGCTGCGCGTATACATGAACAATCGAACTATGTATAGTGGGCAGTAGTCCAAACAGTTGGACAAATACTTCCGCGTACTTGATCGAGGAAAAGTCTACACCACAGGGAAATAGGGACATTCGAGACGTCGTATAATGCAGACTGTAACTATTTTAACAGCTACCATGTCACTAAAAATACATAAAACGTAAATCTAGAAAATATGTTTTTTATTATTATTTTGTATTTATAATAGCTTTTGTAGGACCTACAATGTAATTAATAATAATTATTGACATCGTTTTTACTTTTTTTTTCATATTTTTTAAATATTTCATTTCACATCATCCAAATTCAAATTACTATCCGTAATTCGCTGTTTCCCGAAATCAGTCCACTGAAGTGAAGTTGCTAACTAATCTGTAAATATAAAATCTCTAGATGTCTGGTTGAAAAATAATTAAAATATTAATATTATTAATTATTATTTTTACATCACAATCATCGGATCAAAATTGAGTCAAACTTGTGGGATAATTAATTCATAAGATAACACCAATAACAATAACGTTTTACACTCAAAGGCAATTTACCGTAATAAATACCCAGGTATATAAATATATTGAATTTTAAGGTTAATGAAGTGTAAAGAATTCTTATGTGGATACTTGATGTAAAATTTAACTATTCAGTACCTAATCGGTTTTTGAATTTGATCAAAAAATCAATTTTGTCGATAACTGATTTTGAGTGGAATTTTTGTTTTCCCTATTTTTTATTTGTTTTTTGAGATTATTAAAATATATCCAGAGAATATGATGAACTATTTCTCCTCCAAAACCAAAAATACATTGCTAAACCAACATTAATTTCTTTGCTCAGAATCTATAAGAAATATTACATTTAAAAATGTAAAGTTAAATTTTAATTGTATGTATTTATATTTTATTATATTATTTGTACTCGAATACTGTTTATCAAGTATTATTTTAAATGCATTTCAAAGTAACTATCTGTATCAATATACTCACTTAAATACTTCAAAATATTTTTTTAAAAGCTGCCAGCACATTCAACTATATCGTACATTCGTAAATAAGAAATATCTAATCAAGCTAATAAATTCAATATAAATACAACTCAGTAATATTCTACACACATGTCTTTTTCAAATTGTGTAGGTACATGGTACATTGTATGTTACATAATTCGTATATTCGATCATTTTGATGTTGATATTATTGGGTTCTTATTGATCAATTAAATTTACGATATTTTTGCACGAATTTGTTCTATCACACACACTGTAATCAGTATACATTCTAGATCCGGTTAACCAGTTACTGTAAGACTTTAATGATACAGTATATCAGAAAAGAATACACCGGCAATTTTATTAATATCAACTTTAATAGAAAATATTAAAATACCTTCTTTTTACTGATAGCAAATTATTAATATAATAAATTATACATTGTAAATTATTTTATAGTTCTTATGCCGATTTATTGTCATATACATATTAATTGATTAGATGTAAATATTTAATTGCGTGTACCTTTACCGAATTTCAAAATCAAAATACAGATATTATCCAAAATAAAGGTGCTTATTATTTTATGATACATTTTGATGACCCATGTTCAAAAAAAATATTTTAAATTTTAAATCAAAGTATTAATAAGACGTATGCTTTTATACATTATTTATATAAATATACATAGATATATAATCAAGCGTGAAGTAAGTAAGAACAAATAAATTAATGAACCTATTATGAAAAACAAAACATTAAATTAGATACAGTTAGCATCGGTCATCAACAATGTTTTTATACACAGTGAAACGCCGAAAACTAAATAGTGTTGATTATTGAAAAGCGGAAGTTAATTCAAGTGGAAAATTTGATTGAACAAATAAAATTCAGTTAAAAGAGTTCGCGAGCCATGACTATTACAGTAGGTAAGAAATGCAATTGGTTTTTTTCATACCTTGGCAGATGCGTATATGGATTTTAAATCGATAGTGGGTCTTTGCGAGTAAAACATTATTAAGACGTATAGAAATCAATAATAATTAGGTATAAATTTGATTTTGATCAAGAAATAATAATTTTGTTAATTAACGCATTTTCGTGTACTCAAAACTTCAATAATCGTTTTTGAAAACATAATCTGTCTCCCTACTTAGGCGATTTTATGATATTTTAATTTTTGTATAAGTTTTGATCGTGTAAATTATTACAATTTAAAAATGCTTATAAATTGTATACAAATTAAATTATTGTAAGAAGCCAAAGTATAGAAAACATACTTTCTAGGGATATAAGTAATGTTTTAGCCTAAAGTTATAAAATAAAAGTAAAAAATAAAAAAATATAAAAAGAATAATATTAAAAGTAACAACACAGTCATGGTTTTGCTAAATATACATTTGTTATATTGCTCGCGGGTCAGAGAGAGAAAACAAATGGTGCGCTGACATTCTCAGGTAGGAACTAATTAAATTAAATTTTTTTCTATTCATAGATTCTTAGTGTTTTTTTTTTATGTAGAAGTTATAGGAGAATAATTGATCATATAGTATAGCCGTATTATAGGTGTAGTGATCTTTAAAGAGTAGATTCTAATAACAACGATATCAGATGTAATACAATTTTCAAACACAATATTTTGCTCTGGAATAGCAAATTAAAAATATTGATTGTCATAGTGTTATTAATGTTGACGCAGTTCATTATTCTCATACATTTCCTGCGTCTGTCAGATTTCTTATCGTTTCCTTTTCCCGTCGTAATCTTCTCCCTCAGCACTGCTATCTTCTCGCTTTTAATATAAATTCCCTTTATGTACCTACTTTTCATCAAAACCGTTTCATATATTACTGCATTGTCTTCCTTATAATATACCCATAAATAAAACTCTATTCTAATCACAACTATCTTCTCTCCACGGCTACCCTATACCCCGTGAATCTCTCAACTCTAGTTCCCTTGTAGTTATGTTGGTTATTTTAAACTTTTTAAAACACACATACCAAGGTAGTTGTTAGCATTTAAGCATGGTCGATCCTTTTTTTTTTTTTGCTGCAATCGACTGATAATATTACCCATTAGTAATAACCTAATAATATACGATTAAGTATTGATCTTTGATGACTCGTTTTCAACTGATTTACTTTAAAACGGTGAAAAATTCAACACTTTAGGCGGGTAATCCTTTCTTTATGTCCATCCGTCCGCTGAGGATCGAATACAAATAAATAATCGTCGCTGTGTGGCGCGCGCGCTCGCGGAACAGGTTGCGACGGGAGAGAGTGCCGGCACTGCGACGGCGGCGAGTGAAAGAACCGCCAGAGACGAGCTCAGTTTTCGTACAGGTGTCGACCCGCGTGCAATCACCCAGTGCGGCGTAACATAATCGTACATAAAAAATAATAATATTGTCGTTATCGTTCCGTTCGCGTATTTTATTGTTTACAATAATCTGTTCGATATCGTTATTGGAGTGCGTGGTGTTTTAATCAACTAATTATTACCAACTAATTGCGTCTTAATTTTTTTTACTGGTATTTAATTTTTTTTTTCATAATTTAAATTTTTCGCGTCTTAAGTACACGCAGATGAACAGTGTTCGGTAATCGCCGCCTCGGATGGAATATAGTTTTCGAAATATGATAACATACACTGATTACTGATGCTAACGAGGACACTGCGAGGGCTAATGTAATAAACCCTTATAATATTAACAGGTAAATAATAATTTTTATTTATTTATATCAGTACCTATTAGTAATAACTAATAATAATAGCTAAAAACACGTTTGGTGATTTAGATCTATTTTTTTTTTGTATTTGGTTTTAAATAATATTTTGAACAAATTCGTTATTTCAAATTACCTAAATCAGAAATAAATACATTCAAAATTGTTTTCATTTCAAATGTAAAAATTGTTTAGATAATTTTTTATGTCATTGCTCGTATTTTTGCGTCATTTCGCTTTTAATTTTATTTACTATGACTATTTTCATTATTTTTTTAAATATTTGTTGACATTTTTTATACCTAGCATAAAAGTATTGAATAAATAGTTTTTTTACGAACGTTGTTTACTTATAAGTTATAACGTATTATTTAATTTGAATCACTGTGAATTATCACCCTCTGTGAGTACAATTATGTCGTAACCACCAGACGGTTGGAAATGACAATACGTATCGGGTAACAATACGCTTCGGGCCGCTGGGGACGTAAATATTTTGATTTATAACAACAGTATCCGGTGACGGTTAAAATAAATACTATATAACTAGTAGCAGTATAGCGGGTACATAAAAATTGGAAACGATATACTTCTGCTAAGACTGGGAAACATCCTATACTTCGAGCTAAAAATATGAAACGACCTGTAACCAAAGTGTACAGCTACTTATTACGATGGCAAAAAAATAAAAAGAATTTCTTGGTCTTCGGAAGTGTTTGGTTTTTACTATTGTTACTTCTTATCTAATACAAAGATCTCAAACGCTGTGATTTCGACATCCAGCATTTCCTATATTTAATTTTATATACCTACAAAATTATACGCTATATGTTTCTGCTGCACCACTCGATAGTCGATACCCACAAAACCACATCGTTCATTTGTGCGCGTACTGTAAACTATATTATAATATGAATAATACAGTTGCTCGTATAATGTATATTTAAATAACGTTGTAGTTTCGATGTCGTTTTTTTTTTTGTTATTTATATCCGATCAGACACTTTCGATCACGTAAGTCGTGTATACCGTAGCGAACTCCTCATTATATATAGGTATAAACGACGCTCACCCGTCGACGTCCTCCGATTCTAATAAAATCCGCAGCACTCAATGTCAACTGTGTTTATAATATTTTATACTCTCCTTTCAACCCAAGGGAGACGACGGCAATGGGTGTGCATGCAAGGTCTATATTATGTAGCTAGTATACTTAATACTTATATTATAGTTTATGTTGATATTCGCCATCGGCATATTTATCCCGGAAAAGTACAACATTACACCCGGGAAAAAATATTTTAAATATATTTATTATAATATTATACGTAGTCAATACATTATTTGCACAATAGATTAATATAGAGGGTGTATAACGTGTGTAATGTAAACAAAGATAGGCTATAGACACGTTGCTACAGTGTTAGGTATTAACCTAAAAACAATGATAAAACGCTGTTAATCTAGTCGTCTATTAAAATTTTATCATTATTAATCTCGAGTGGATTGATCGTCGTTTAAATTCTAAGAGAGGAAACTTGCTTTGAAAACAATAAATACGGAAATTCCTAACCATCGCAATAATTTGTTTCGTTATCATTTTCACGGCGCACACAGGTACCTCTATTATACACACCGAGCCCGTGTATAATTAATATCATAATATAACGTGTGTTTTAAGTGTGTAAACTATGTGGAAACGATGCCATCTATAAGCGACGTCCTTCCGGTCGGCAATCTTCTAGAGTGTTTTCCGGAAAAATGTCTACTTATATGTTGTAGTGTATGTCTGCTCCTCGCAGCTGTTAGACTATACGTGTTACGCAGTGTAATATAATTGCTTAGAAAAAAAGAAATAAATCATATAATTATTACGATTAAGATCAGACGTCACTGGTTCGTTAGTGCAGTTTGCGACTTCACATCGTTTACGGGAATATATTATGTAAAAAAACATTCTGTGCTGTACCGTATATTAAACGAACACTACACACATATTATTCAAAACAATGTAATATTACGCTATAGCTAAGTACGAGTTAATACCTACGTAATAATTAATTATAGGCAAATAATTGCTTTTCCATCGGTCTGCAATCGAAGGAACAGAGTTGGCTGTGGTTCGATTGCTACCACCACCCGTCTGATTAACATATTTTCAAGTATATTATATCTTTCCCTGTTTGTGTAAAAAAAAATATAGAACTTCTCCGGGTTGGATTTCTATATTTTATTTTGCTGTCGAAAACTAACCACTAATATAGTTTCCTTTGTACAAAATTTGACGATTAACGTGCACGCAAAGGAGCACATTTTTACTTCCCGACGACCTCCGGCTATAGCTTTGTACCTATTTGTATATGTGTTTATATTTTCATGGTATAAACGGTAACGAAAAGGTTTGTGATCAAACTAATTGCGACACTCGAGAAGGGTTAGTTGGCGTATTTTTCGCGGCGGTTGAATGAAAGTGCATAATATAATAATTTTCAAATTCGTTTTAGCATTCAATACATGTGTCGATGAGTTTTATCGGGCTTACATAATGTGAAATTACCAGTTTTCATTCACGATAACCTACTGACTGAATTATTGAAAATAATGATAATAAATATAAAACTTTCTCGCACTCGCCGAGACTCGTACACATACGCGTGACGGACGATATGCGAATTAAAAACTTTTTTTTGTGCATGGAACATCACTTCGACGAAACTGTTTTCCTATATTATTATAGTGGGTAACATATTATTATTATATTATCCGATCCGGGCGCTTCTTCTCTCAAGCTTGTCGAACCTTGTATAGCCTATACGACCATTATTTATTATTAATATAATGTCAAATAATAACATTATCAAATCGACGGCGCGGTGGTGGCTCAACAAACGTTCAAAGACCGCGTGATGCGTGCGCCCGCCGATTGGACACGATTTCCCGACCGTGATATTATAATACTTTGAGGTATAAAATATAAATATTATAATCGCAGGCGGTATAATCAATATAGAACACAGACGTATTATACACATACAACCAAATTATTATTATTATTCACTATCGTAGTAATTTCCCACGGATTTTAATTTCCATAATAATATAATACACCCTGATCTGGTGGGTGAGACTGGTGAGAGGAGGGAGGTTGCCATCGCGGCTTTGACTCGTTTCGTCCAGCGATGCTCGCGCTCGAAAGCCGATGCGCGCCCGCCGATGTGGGTCACACATTCGCGTATATAGAGAATTTAACGCCGTGACAGACCGAGACCAATCGTGAACTATGGGAACGTTAAATGTCTATATATATAATATGTAGATAATATATACACGTAAATGTATAACACACGCACACTCACACACACACACACACACACACACGTTCGCGCGCGCATATAACTGAATAAACATGATGTAAATTGCTCCGAATAAACGGCAATTACGTCGACAGCTATGCGAAAATCTCCGTCACATATTATAATGACGACAACGACGCATGCACCACAGAAGTCACACAGTGCTTTAGTGCTTTATATAAATAATATATTATTATTATTATGTAGTGTGTAGTACAAGTAGTCGTGGTCTGTACGATTTTGTGTTTTTTTTTTTTTACTTTACTTTACTTTCCATTCGATAGTCAGTAGTCACTACGTCTTACACACACACAAGCACACTCACATATACCGCCTCCACCGTGCAGTTAATGTCGTTTTAATGGCAGTTATATATTATATTATTTATAATAATACTACTATACGGTATACACACTATACTCGCGATGACGTGTATAATAAATAATAATATATTATGTGCATAAAGTAGTATATACATATATCGTCCACTGCAATTTACATACAACGGTTTTTTGTTGTTGTTGTTGTTGTTGTTGTTGTTATTCGATTATTTAAACAGCTAGATGCTCCCCGCGTGTTACAGTTTCGAAGCGAAGGAAAAAGATTCACAAGACACGCGATCTATGTATATGTACGGTTATGTTACATAGCTGGTACCTTGGTCGGGACGATGGAAACACGATCTCTGGCGCTGCCGACTCCAGATCGGTAGGTGTATAGGAGACGTTGCGCAACCGTATAGTCATAGTCTAAGAAGTCTCTGGACCGAAACGAGGTGGATCATTTTATGCGCGCGTGTTGCGTTCTGAGTACAGGCAATAGATTCGGAGAAGTGCAAGAGAAAAAAATGTACGCGAGAGATACTTTTTTACAATAACTGCAATTTTTTCCTGCCCTTATTCTTACGACAACCAGTTCACCCGGCTAGGAAGTCTTATCTTTTCTCCCATACATGGTTTGAGTATCTATAGAATGTTTGGGGCTATTTTATGTTGTGATGAGGGGTGGGTGGGTGGCTTATAAATAATTTGCTGACTAGTGACTACAAATGTTAATTTTCAATAAAGTGATCAGCGAATTAGTTAACAATTACTTCCAAAACACAAATAAAACTTAACTACAGATTAGATTCGTTGAATTGATGGGTGTGTCTATGATTTTTTCACTACTAAATATAATATAACACTTTAAAAATACCTCTGATTCAACCTCACGAATACACGCAATAGATCACAGTAATTATCGTTCTACATTTTATGTCAGCGATAATTTATGTTGGTGATGCTAACGACAGTATAAAGCGAAATAAAACGTACAGCACGATGAAAATATTGTTTTAATATCTTATAACGATTTTGACGATATCCCATGGCGTATCGTCTCTGTTTTCACGTGACGTTTCCATAATAATAATAATATGGTTTTTGGGTGTTGCCCTGGTCGACAGCACTCGTGGCCAGTCGAGACAAAAACACCCACCGGCATAATATTCAGTGTGATAACAATGACACGTCTCGTTAATGAGTGGTTAATATATTTTTAACTAATTGCTACACATTGTATGATATGAGCTTCATGTGGGATATAAATGTATAATTATAATATATAGATATAATGAATTGTCAATGACACACT